TTGAAATTAACATCTTCTACCATGGTGGGAGGATCTCTATTATAGCAACTAGTAGCAGAATACCCATACATATGACAATAAGCATATGATTCTTGAGATTGAGCTACCTGATTTAAGAGCTGTTGCATTTGATGACTCAATTCAGCTACCCGTGAACCCAAATCCCATGGCACATTCACTTCATGCACTCCTACTCTCTTACCTCGCATTACTTTTTATTGAGAATTGCTAGCTAACAATTCATAGAGACTAACTAATTCCTCCGGAGTTTTGTCACCAATATACCCTCTTGTTGTGATATCCACCATATTATGGGTTGTTAAAGTCAACCATCATAGAAAAATTGCACTTGCAATGCCAATGAATATTGGTGGTGAGGACATTGAGAAAATAGTAGCTTAAAGCATCCTCATGCTTCATGTATTGGCTCTCATTCCATCTGAGAAAATGTGCAAATCTTGTTCCTTAAATCAATGGTCTTCTGAGGTGAGTAGTTCTTGATCATAAAGATGTATAAACATCTTCCCATGTCCTCAAAGATCCTTTAGGTAGATGAAGTAACCAAGACTTTGCATGATCCTTGAGATAATAAGGGAAGCACCTCATTCGCAAGTCATCTCCTAAGACTCCACTCAAAGGGAAAGTTTGGACATTCAAATAAAATTCCCTTTTGAAGGAGAGCGGGTCTTCATTGGCTAAACCATGGAAAGCGAGCAACATGCTGAAATGTACAGTTTTGACCTCATAGTTTCTTGCTCTGTCGCTTAGCCTGATGTAGTGGGAAAAAGTTGCAATCACAGTGCTTGCACTACCTGCTGTTGATTATTACCATTATTTCTATTCTCTTCAGCCATCTCTTCGTCGTTAGAATTGCCCCACTCAGCTATCTTTAAGGTAATACGAAATCATGATGAAAATGGCTGCAAAGTTTGTTTTTTCAAGCGAGTTTGCTTCCTCAAATACTTTGCAATTTTTTCAATTTCTAGATAAAATCCAAATCATCTTTTTGAGACTGGGTAATACACCAAGCACCTAAATAGGAAAAATCAAAACTAAAAGTGAAGAATTAAAAGTAAAATAAAATAAAAATAACTAAAGTAGAAAAATTAACCGTTACTCTCAGTAAAAATTTGATCGACGAATTCCTGCAAGCGCATAGGGTCAATCATAGTAATAATTTACCTGGAATATTCTGGGGTCGAATCCACAGGGACGACTTAATTTTCTACTTTAATTATTCTAACAAATTCAAATTTAAGAAGTGTATTTTCTAACTAAACGATAAAAGAAACAATCAATTTAAATAAAGTAGTGGCGAGAAAACAATAGATGTGAGTCTAGGCTCTATTGGGCCCGAAAAATTATGTTTTCACACATTTATTTGATGAAGACCGGCCCAATGGCCGGTCCAATGGCTGGCACCAATCATTGGACTGAACACAAACTATAAAAGGATTTGGAGATGTTTGGCGCAAAGTTATTTGCGAAGTCTGGCGTCGGTCATGGATCCGCCCATGGATCGGTACGGATCCATGCATAGATCACATTTGAAGCCTCAAAACTCCATCAAATAGGCAAAATTAGTTCTTGATCAAAATGTGAAATCATATCCCTTTGAATAAGCTTTCCAATGCCACGAGTATCAAGGCATTTGCAGGTTTGGACACTAAGATATGTCTAAAATATTGAGACCTGGTTATAAGAGCATCGCAGCACAACTATATTTCAGTAATTTGGACTTTTGACTATGAAAACTTGAGAACTAGCTTTGATGTCTCAAACATGTTGTAGAGTATTCTCTTAACTTCAGATTGAATCAAGAATCATCTCAATCTAATTTGTGTAGTTCACATTATCGCCAAAATACTGAAACATGTCAATCCTGCCAAACCCTTTTTTCTTGACTTTTTATTCTTCCATTGCTTCTTCACGCCACATTGTTAATCCATTTTCCCTCTAATCAAGCTTTTCACCAATTAGAACAATATATGAGAAAAATTAAGTAGTTTCTACTCAAAATAAAGCTCAAATAACATGGTTAACTAGCAACTTATGCATATAAATGTACTACAATTTACACCCTATCAATAAGTGACTAGTTTATGCTATATTTGGATGACATTTGATGTTATTGTTAGACACTTTTTCAATATTATAAGAAGAAAATGATACATTTTGATTAGAATTGGTTCTAAATGCTACTGAATGTTTAAATGAGATTTTTGTCCCTTTTACTCGCATGTTTTTTATTGTTTTTGTCGGAGTTTGAAATGGACTTCATTTTGGACAAGAAATAAGCTTGTATTATATTGATTGAAGTCCTAAAGTTTGCAAGTATCGTAAGTTTCAAAGGTGGTTTAGTCACAAAAACAAGAAAATGATGAAACTTGTTGAAAAACGAAGTCAGTTCGAATTCCTTCGAGAATCCTTGTAGGGATTGTTAGAGGGATTCGATGCAGAAATTTTTGGTGAAACAAGGGAGAAATTCCTCCAAGAATCTGATCGAAATTCTAGAGGCATTGCCAGAGGGATTCCAGTCAAACATCGTGGTTACAACTTGTGCAGCTTGATTTCAGCTCCATTATTTTACACTTTAATTTTTAGGAGACATTTCATGGAAGATTTGTAGTTATAAAGTGGAGATTCTAGCAATAATTTTTTTACTTTATTTCTTCGATAATGATGTGCTTTAGTTTTGAAGCCACAAAAATTGACATTCGAAACCAACGTTAAACTTGAAGGAAGAGACAAAGAGGGATGAAGATTTCTCTATAAATAGAGTTTATGTCTTCTTTTTCAGGAGAGTTTGAAGAGTGTAAGAGTACACTACAAAAATATAGCTCTTATATTTTCTTAGTTTTAGGTTAGTATAGTATAGTTTAGATAGTAGAGTGTGTTATCAACTCTTGTACATTGGTAGACTAGGATGAAAATGGAGAGGATGAAGCTCATGGGACAAGAATTCGCTGTTCTCCAACTCTTTACCTTTTGAATTGGATTCTTATTTTGGTTAATAAATAAGTTTTGGATTTGTATTTTGTTATGTCTTTCTAAAGTTTATGCCTTGGACTTTGGTTGAATTTTTTATGATTATTTTGTGTTGATTTTTTGGCTATTTGATGCTATTATTTTAAGCAAGTTATTTAGCATTTTTGCTTATCTAATCATGATTAACTGACCATTAATTATAATAATTATAAGGTGTTAGATTTGCAATGAAAATTAGAAATAAACACTAATTCAAGAAAGTACTAAACCTAGGGAGTATACTCATGAGAGTAGAGGTGTACATTTGTGACTTTAGTGATTTATTTCATGTAATTTCATAGGGGTAATAAACTTGTAACTAATTTTATAACTACAAGAGTATGTATGGGTTAATTATAGAGATAATTTTAGAAACCTCTCTTGAGGTTTCCAGCAATTGCAGAAAGCTCTCCTGAAGTTTCAAAAATTACACCTATCCCTTTGCTTGTAAGGTTTATGTAACAATATAGATCCAATAGCCTATACTTTTTTCACAAATATCCTAAAATACCCTTCTTCTAGAGAACAAGATAGAATAAAACAAGCATTCAGTCTTTAACTTCTTGTAAGTGGCATACTCACTAAAGCAAACAGAGTCGAGCGATTCCAACTCATCTCAAAATTCATTACTTGCTAATTCTTGCCTATGCAACTTGCTACTACCACTACCAATACTAAACCAAGAAATGTCTCCATGCCCATAAGAACATAATTCATCATTGCTATAGCACTCTGGGAAATAGAGAAAAAATTTCACCTTCATAGTAAAACCACAATTAATAGGTGGAATAAAAGAAAGAACCAATGAATTTTTTAATGGGTAGACTTTTTGGCCTAACAAACATAATAGTCATTTCTTTATCATCCAACTCTCAATTTCATTTTTTTTCTATATGACTGCTACCTTTTTCATCTTCCCCTAATTTGATAATAAAATCCAAAGTCTACACCTTGTTAATTTCAATTGGCTAACTTTTGTAAAGAGTAAAAATATTGAAAAAAAAAGGAAAGCATCTAAAATTTTATAGTAAAAATGAGACAAGAACACAAAAAAATGTAGAAAAATTTTGGAGATGGTAAAAAATTGGTAGTGATATGGTTGGTAATAATGGAGCGCGATATTTGTTGAGAGGGAGAAGTGGTTGTAGGAGGACAAAAGAGAAGAGTATGGAAGAGAGAGGGAGGGAGAAAGAGAAGAAAATTAGAAAATGGATGGAAATTCTTCTTTGAAATTAGAAAAGAGTATTGAAGTATCTTTTGGCTTTAAATGTTCCTTTATGAATTGACTATTATTTTTTTGTCAAAATTATGAATTAACAATTAAGTGGAGGGCATTTTAGTCATTTGATTGGATCAAGGGAGGTTTATGTAATTATTGAAACCTTAGGGGAGTTGAGTGAAATTGTCAAAAATTTCAAGGGAGGTTTTTGAAATTATCTCTTAGTTATAAGTACAGTTGATTTACTATGACAATAGATTTTACATGCATAAAGAAATAATACCATAACTAACCAAGATACTAGTGATTAATGATTCAAAAATTGCACATATACGAATAGCTAGGAATACCATGACTTAAGGAACTTTCTTTTGCTATTTTCTTGCATATTTAGCTTAGTTTTATTTTTTTCAATTTATTGATAATCTAAATAATATAAAAGTTTTAGTAGTACCGGTAGTTATCCATTTTTCCCTTGGGGTTCAATCCTTAATATCTAATACTCAATCATGACCCATACACTTGTACAAAATTGCATATGGGATATTTAAGAATTTATAAATATAAAAGTTGACTGTGGATTGGATTTAATTTTGTATTCATACCCCTCACTCATCAGAGATTCATCCTAATTCTATGACGGAGACTTAATAAAACATAGTAAAAATGAAATAAAATAACATACTTTTATTACAACTAAACATTGAGTTTAAGTTACAGAAAATAAAGGGTAAAAGAAAGAAATTGTTATGCCAAAGAGAGGAAGAGGAACTTTCATTCTTCAATTTTCAACCTTTTTCCAAAGCTTAGTTGTAAAAGTACATAACCCTATACTAATCCCACTCTAAACCAGTGAGGGCTAAATTGTAATCGTATAAAAAGCAAACACACACACCGTGAACTCAAGAAAAGATGAAATAACTCGTAAGCTCCTTACATATAACAAAAATCCGCCATTTTTACCTCAATGATGATAGCAGGACTCAAAAATTGCAAGGAAAATGAGGAACTAAATCTCACGTAGAGACAAAAATAATTCCATTCACTAAGGATAGCTGTCTGCTTGCTTTATTTATTTAGTTTTCATTACCCTTCAAATTAATAACTCCGTTTTCCTTCATTTTGCTTCTCCCAAACCAAGTGTCATAATTAAATAACTTCTGCAATTTATCGTAAATTGTCGATGTATCTACGCCAAGTCTGGAAACTTTAACCTGCAAATTAAGAAACAAAAGTATGAGATGTCAGTTTAGGGTTTTTAATCTCTTCAATTTAGTAATTTTTCCTAATTCTAATCCAGAAAACATTGATCACTATATACTCCTTAAATACTTCTTTCTTTTAAAGCCAAGAAGACTGATAATCACCTGAGCGTGCAGTATGTGACAGATTTTATCGTCCATTGTAGAAATGCTAATGCTAACTACTTCTACACCTTGTTCTTCAAGAATTAGGATGACTTCATGTAAAGCAAAGTTCTTCGTTGAACCAGTTACTAAAACCACTTCCAAGTTTGAACCAATTTCTCTGATTTTCACAATTGGAATACTTGATCCCGGAATAGCTGAATTTCTGCTTTTTGTACCCTTTGTTTCGACTTTGCTCTTTACTAGCTCTTTAGACTTCTTCAGATTCTCTACTCTCTCTCTTAATTGCATGATATAAGCAGCAACTTGATCAATCTGGTCTCGTTGAGAAAGCAGTTCCTGCATTTACCAAGTAAGAAACTTTTAACTTTGTTACCAAATGCAATACAAATAAAATCTATGAATATGAGAAGCTATGTGAAATTGAAAAGAAAATTTGGCATCAAATAGATGTGGAACTGAATTCACTGTATCTTGCATTAATATATATTAGCTTTTCTGAAATTAACGCTAATGTGCATTTGAAAATAATACTCTTGACACCAGTAATGTTCAAAATTTTTCTAAGACAGAAGTAGTTCAATGGCCAAAAAGAGGCATACTATCAACAGCCTCATCTTAATCAATATTTTTTAAATAAAAGTCCACATAGTGCGCAGTACAAAAGAAAGGTAATTAAAAACCATACTTCGAGAATGAATTTGAAGCCTCACACAACAAAACAAATAAATCCAATTGTTTTTTTTTCAATCCTTTAATTTGATAAATATATAGTACAATCTGTTAGAAAGTAACGAGATCTCTAAAGGAGAACACCGATTCACTCAGCCAAATAGGACAAGACATAAAATTAAGCGATGCACTCATTCCCTGAATTGGATGCAAAAAAATGGAACTAAAAATTGATGAAGTTACTTTCTAAATAATCATTGAATTTCCTCGAGGAAATTGGAGAATGAACAATAACAAAAATTCCTTGTACTTAGTTTCCAAAACGTCCTTCAAAATCCGTTGGAAAGTGTGTCAGATGAAACAAACTTAGTTTCTCTATGTCAGGTGATGACACAAACTTAGTATATCAATGGAAATAACTATAAATTTGCGCAGAGATTACTCAAGTGAAATTTACAAACATGTTCAGATTCAATGTATTCATCAATTCGGGACACTTAACCATGAACTTCTTTTTGAGGTATCGCCTGTCTCATTCTTGTGCTATAGATGTTGCTTGTACGATTAACATTGCTTAGAAAAATACTTCAAAAAAATTCACCAAGGCATTTTCTCCATGTGAAACGTGTGTTTTTCAACAGATTTGGTTGGCGAAGCGATGTAGTGATGGTACTCAACATGAAGATGATCTTCCCTTTTGACCATTAGGTAACCAGTAAGTTGATATTTTAACTAGTGGAAGCATGAAATTCCATAAGTATAATACCTTATTCTACCGTCTCTTTGCAAATCAAGATTAGAGATGCCAAGTTTTGTTTATTTTAGGATTTCATCTTTATGTGACTAACTAATATTCAGGTTAGGCCATATGTGATATGACCTCTCCATGAATGTAATTTTCAACCTAAACCATTACAACCTGAATTCTCAAAAAACAACAAGGATTACCGTGCACGGGATTAGCCAGTTACACACATGTACCTTAACTTCTTGTTCACTACAAATGATGTTACAAACAAAATGATTTCCTAGTGATGTATTCTGGGCAAAAACGAAAACAAAAACATGGTTTTGACAAAACCCTGAACGATTCTAGTTGCAAGAATGGAATGGTGTAATTCTAAACTCCAAAGTAAACCTTTTGTAGAATAAACCTTTTCCTTACCAATTCTTCCCTAAACTTTTCTTATAAATGTGAAATTCTTTCTACAATTGATTTTTCTGTAGAAAACAAATCTACTGACTACTTGCTATGTAGCCAATGCAATACATGTTCTTACATGTCTTAAAACAATATTCTTCTCACCTAGCTAATTTCTATGCTTTAAATTTGTGCCTAACGTCAAAACCTTGTACTCCATTCATCCAAAAAGCAAACCAAAAATTTCATTATTTATCTCAAAATCAGAAATACCTAAAATCAAACCAGATCCAAGCTAACAAATAAAAAAAAAAAAGGAATTCAAGGCACCTTGGATGGAACAAAATGCTGAGGAGGAACAAGGGATGTAAGCTCATGAATGAGACCTTTCATGCGAATTCTTCTGTTCCTCTCAACAGTTTTCCTGTCAATCTTTGTTGAAGCATCATTAACATTATTAATCTCCATAACGCTACTCAAAAATCTCAGCAAATCCCTAGTCAAAAATCATATAAAAACAGTTCAAAAAGCCAAACCAATACTAAGATTAAGAGAATAGCAAACTCAACAGAGAATAATTATAATGTGTTTTGAAGGATCTTAGTTCAGAGTTTGAATGGCTAAGAAATCCCAGTGTATATATAGGCAAATAGTGTCACATGTGAAACTTATGCATGGTTATTCATCAAGACACAGAACGAACCTCCGCGAAGGAAACCAGAATTAACGTTTGTCCGTGATGCGGGTCCCACAGCCAAACAACGTACGAAGGATGTATTGAAATTGACACTTGAATAGGTAGAGCAAGACTTCCAATTTATTGATTTATTCCCTTCGGGTTCACATTTGTCGGCGGATCAGGTTTAGGGGCACCATAATTATGGATACTGTTAATTATGAATCTGTTGATGTAATAAACGGTTGGCTAAATGATGCTAATTGGTCACTCGTTAAAAGGAAATTTAAGTATAAGTTTTTTGAAACAATTAAAAAAGTTTTTTGGAAAAGTATATTTTATTTTACAGAATAAATAAATATATTGAGTGCAATAGTCGTGATTATATATATTTGAATGATAAATTACACGTAATTTTGGAAGTACTTTATACTTTTTAATAAATTCACAAATTTATTTTACATATTGCTTTAGCACATGCTATCCACTCCGTAATCATTACGTAGCTGAAGAGCCTGTCATCTGCATGCGCAGGTTGTCTCCCAATATCGATAAATTTTTCTATCTTGAAATATCAAGGCAAATTACATTTTACCCCCTATAATTTAACATATTTTACATAATTCTCTATGATTTCAAAAGGTATACATAACCCTTTCATGATTTGGATTAAAGTGTCAAAATGACGGAAATAGTCATTCGTAACGGAACTTCTAGAAATGTCGTAATTACCCTTATAAATACATGACACACTAATCCCGTATGATTTTTATATTTTACTATATAACGCCCTTATGGCTTAATACTTTACCATATAACCCCTTTAGGGTTTCAAAATATACACATAATCCCCCTTGGTTAATAAATAATTTTCAACTTTACATAAGAGTATTTTTGACATTTTAGGTGACCCCGTTATAAATGATCATTTCCGTCATTTTAACACTTTAATCCAAACCATGAATGGGTTATATATAGCTTTTGAAATCATAGGGGGTTATGTAAAAAAAATACTAAATCACAGGAGGTAAAGTGAAATTTGCCCAAATATCAATAATTGATTGATAGGTAACATTTGAATGCACTGTTGCACCGGCCACTATTTACAAGAATAATCAAATGTTGGAACCAAATATTGTGAAGCATTTCAAGTCTTAAAAAGTCATTTTTTGCTTTCCAAATTTGATATTTTCCTTGTTTCTTTGCTTCTTCATTGTTTGTCGTCAGTGCAACAGCTTTCATTCTGCAAAGGGGTTAAGAAAATCTGACCTGGTTCACACTTAAAACTATTGTATGCAGAAAAAGCACATCTTCATGGTCAATTATTTGTTGTATCTCTTTTCTTCTCTTTTTCCTCCTGTGTCGTCATACACGATCAATTATTTGAAATTGCGTTATCCGTGACGTTCTTATTTGACACCAAGTATACAGACTATCATTTCCTGGAAGATGGTATTTTCACTGTTCCTACTCCTTTTTAATAAATTGAAACAACAGCCTTGCAACCTTTAATTTTTTTTTTTTTTTTATTGGAACGACAGCCTTGTAACCCTTTTCTAGACATTCAATAAAAATGGTTAATATGGACTAGAGGATAAGTTTATTACGCAGATGAATGCCAGTCAATTATCACTCAAAATAATTCCTTAGGTTGTGGACTATGATTACATCATATATCATATTAAAACCTTCCATGTATTAATTGGACTTAATTATGAACATATGTCGAGTGTACATTTTTTGAATAAAATTGAGATTGATGCAATGAATGTGTGCACTGTTTTTACTTTTTTACAAACACAAAAGTATAAATCACCTAACTTGGATTCAACCGATGACCGTTTATCAGTCTGCCTTTTCTGGTATGTTCCACACAGCCAGACCAACACGGGAGAGGGGAAGCAACAATCCTCACTCAAACTGTTCCTAAACGGTATAAAAGCGCTTCAGTAGATTGTAACTCACTATTAACTGCTGCTTGTAAAAATCTGAGAACATGTATGTTTTATTTAGCTACTATTCATACGGGTCCATACAAGTTGATTGAGTCAGAATTAGGTACCTTAATCTGTCCTTACAATTTGGATTTTTGCTTAGTTAGCACGAAAAAAAAAAAAGGGACCATGAGACCTTCTGGAATGATTATTCCTGACAATTGTTCAGGGTGATTTTTATTTTATCTTTTCCTTATAATTTGTTAGTAAAATTTAGGTCATATGCCTTTCAAGACTACTATTTTGACAACTGTTCATGACCTTTGTTGGACGAACACCGTCTAGGTTTTATGTACCAAATGGGTTACTAATCCTTTATTTCAAATTTAATAAATAAGCTCGCCTACTCTCTTTTACTCTCTCTCTCTCTCTCTCCCGAGTTTACAAAGTTAAGCATCCCTTATTCTTGCAGAATTAAGCGATGTAATCATCTTCTGTATTGTTGACCCCCGACAAATTCTGGTGCTAAATCTGAAGATATTTTCACCCTACAATCAGGCCATATATTGCCCTAGTTGAGCTTCGTCTACCTTGAAAATTTTGTTCAACTAATGATGCAAGAGATGGGAAGACTCAACACGCAAATAAAGTGTTTATTACTCGTTATGATGCTAATGACCCTAAAAGGTTCGATGCAATTGGTGACAGGTCAACCATGAACAAGTACACTTGCACATTTGGTAATGTTCCTTATAGAATTCATGAATTATGTACATTTGCACTCCATAATTAGCTAGCCACGTTTCCATAAACTAGCCTTTCTATTTTTATTCAAAATTCTTTCCAATATATTATATGGCTTTCCATCGTGATTTTCTTTATTAATTTTTTTTCTTGGAATCTCAATGAGCTACAAAATAAATTTGAGCATGAAAATTAATATGAACTAGAGTTAAGAGAAAAAGAAGCCTTTACTTCATTCAAAAACACTTATAGTTAATAATGTTTTAGTTCCCGTTTGGTTTGAATTATCTTTTGTTCATTCCTCAAGAAGACTTGCTTAAATACGGTGATCAAGTTATAGCATTTTATTTTTAAGCAAAAAGCAAAAATGCACTATGCCATTGAGTTGGTCTACTGCATAAACACAAAAACAAAATTAGCACTAAAACAGAATGAAAGTAAAATCATCCTACACACAGAAAATCATCTTTGCCTTCAGGTAAAACACTAACAAAAAACACAAGGTGGAACCTGTAATTTCAAGCACACCTCCATAGTACCAACTTGAAATATATCATTGTAAAAAAAAGAAAAAGAAAAATTTCTTGCTTCAAACTTAAGAACTAGTTATGATCATATACATTTTTGATGAAATTTTAAGAACTTTTAAGAGCTAATTATGATCATACATAAGATTACTAACATTCTATGATTATATGTATAAATAATTAAGACCCGAATCTGGCACACACTAAAAAGACCCAAAAAATCTTAAAAATAAAAAAGAATATCTGATTTGATTATTGTACATTCTGACAATACCCGCAATGAAAGTTAATTTACTTCCTTCTGTATGTAGTATTTGTCTAAGGACCGGTGGACTATCTTCTTCATTTTTTTTTTCC